TCCTAAACTGGGATTTATATGATTGAGCTGCCTGAGCTCCTCTCCCCCTGTTGCCAGCTGTAGGAATTTGAGCAGCTGTGTGGAGAGCTCCACTGCAGGTTTTGGTTCATTGGTTTCCCCATGAGGAAACCTTTTCTTCAAGGAGAGACCCTGTGGCGATTTCCTCTGAAGCCCCTATTCCCCCAGGCCTTCACCAGGTTCTCGCTCTTCTTCTTTTTCACTGCCACCAGGTATTATTGCCTTAATACCATTTAATCATGGAGACCTGTGTGCTTTTAAAACTTAAGTCATTTATTAGATTAGGGAAGTTAACATATGATTAAAATTCAATAAGTAAATCACAGGCTGATAATCACTAGTACAGTATCTGAATCTAAACTTCTATAATTTTAAATCTCTTTTAACTCAATTCATCGTTCTTAGACATCTCTAACTCACTCTTAGTTCACTTTTAAGTTTCACACTATCTCTCACTCACAGAATCTCTCTCAGATTCCATACACCAGCCTTTATATCCAGCCCCCTCCCCCCTTGGCTCTGCCTTCCATCCTCTCATTGGCTCCTTCTCCACTGTTCAGCTGTGACAGACAGGTGAGGGCACGGCTGTTTGCTACAGACCCCATACTCCAGAGGTGGGCAAAATGCGGCCCTCCAGATGTTGCTGAACTGCAACTCCCATAATTCCTAGCCCACATAGCCTATCGTGAGGAGACTTGTGCCTAACCCACACAGCCAATAGTGAGGAGATTTGGGCCTATCCCACACAGCCAATAGTGTGAGGAGAGTTGGGCCTAGCCCACACAGTGAGGAATGTTGGGATTTGCAGTTCAGGAACATCTGGAGGGCCGCACTTTGCCCAGGTCTGCACATACTCCAAAGGAAGCCCCTTCTCTTCAGGAGACTTTCTCTGCAGCAGAGCACTTCTTGTTGCCTCTCTCTGGAGCTTGTGTTTTCAGTTTCTGGGCTGCAAGGGGGTGCAGCTCCCTCCAGCTCAGAGCCACCTTCATTTAGAGTTTCAAACTCCTGGCTTCCCAAATATTCCCCATGAGGGAGAAGTTGGCCTCTTGGATCTTGAATGGTCTGGCACAGCATTCCATCTGATCCTTAGAAGAACTTTACAAGGTGTCTGAGTTTGCTTTTTCAGTCCAGCGTCTCAATCCCTTCCCCGTTTGTTTCATTACTTTGGATCTGAACCAAAAGGCAAATGCTATCTTATCATCTACAGTAGGTCTCTTCGAAGCTCTTTTCAGCTGAAGAGCAAAATCAAATGCTCTAAAATATTCCCTTTTTAAATATGTTTTAAAACAAAATTGTATATTTATTGGGCACTGATTTATACTTAAATTAGTACTCAACTAATTGAGGTTCAACTATCCTAAATCATTTGACTAACTTTTAGAACATGATAGGGTTTAGACATTGTAAGTTACTAATCTACTAGGTTTATAGCCATGTGAATGTTATCACATCTGAAGTGACCTGCAGAATTGGCTTTTAAAAAAGGCAAAAGGTATAGGGACATCTTAAGTGCCTTGTACTTTTGCACACAGGAAATCCAGGTGAGGCCACAGGATAGTATGCTTATCCTTTGCCTTTTGAGAGATAGAAATTCACCTCTGCAGTGAAAAAAGAAGCATCTGAGAAACTAATTGGAATTTTACGACTGAGCATATCACTTCTTTTCATCATCATTGTTATCATTGTTCTTGTTAAAGGAAAATGACAGATCACTTTCATTACTGAATTTGTCTAGTAAAATAGAATGACTTAATGCTTATTCCATAGAAAATGCTCCAGATTTCCCTAGGATAAAATCAAAATGAGGATTAAATCTTCATTACTCTGTTGTATATTGCAGTAGTGATTAAAGAATGGTTAAAGAGTGGAATTGCCCCATCGTTTCAATATACATTTATGGATGGAGTAGAAATTAAATCAACGATGCATAAGGAATCCAAGGTGATGATTATTAAAGACTTAATAGTGTAGGGTAAAAGTATTCCAAGAAATGTATTTGCTTACAAAAATGGAAAACCACAGTCCCACTTGAAATCCATGTTTGTTTACATCAGCCCCTCGGAGGGGGGATTTGACCTTCAAAGATTGCCAAGGTTCTTATTACAATGAGACTTAAATTGCCTAACTATTCAAGATTACTATAATTCTGAGGATTATAGTTTTAGTTTCTGGTAACCCAGAGTTCCAAAAGTTCAGGTTTCTTTCCAGAAAAAGAATCTCTCAATCTAAAAGTAGACAGCCTGCAACTGCAGCCTGCTTATGGCCAATTCATTTTTGTAGTCCTTGAACTTCCTCTTTCCACCTCAGAAAAAACAAGGGCAGCAACACTTTCAAAAGCCTCCAGGAAGAACGATTATCATTTAAAGAAGGATTCCCCC